GTTAAAATCATGCAAAGGTCCATGGTACACCTACAGAATAGCCTTTACTGTTGCTGTAAAGCTAGTCTACCTTAAGAAGCTAAAAACTTTCAGATTCCATTGCAGGTAACTTCTTTTTAACATTTCCAGAACCACGGACCAAACTCTTACAGATGCATTACACCATTCCAAGAGGTCATAGTCCTCCCAGGCAAGAGTTACTGCCTCCACCTACCTCCTGAGAAGATTCTTACTGTACTTCTTGTACTTTTCAAAGCGTGCTAGGCTAGCATACGTGGCCTTTGTTAAACCATGTGATTTTGTTGGAAATGCCTGGAAAGCAATGAGCAGAACATCTTCCCAGTAGATTTGAAAGGAGAGTGAATTCTGGCAGAATCCTAGAAAAGGCACCAGATGACAGGAGGACAGATTACAGCCTCCTCCACCAGTATGGCTGCCCTTGGCATCCATTGTAGCTGTTGCTTCCCTGCAGCTTCTTAAGTGTTTTAATATACTGTTTAATGAGAAGGTGCAGTGCGAAGATGACAGTCAAAGCAGTAATAAAGACAGGAAGGTGAAATTGCTCTTTGCCATTGCATTCTAGTCCCTTCAGATTGGTCCCTTCAAATTGGCTTCAGATGAATATAATATGACATCGCTACACATTCAAAATTATTTCTACCACAGCGTGTATTTGACCTTGCCTCTCTAACATGAAGACACTCGTTCCAGAGGATAAATAGCTGCCTGAAGAGTTTCAATTCTTCTTATTATCATACCTTTATATATTTATATAAAACAGGAAAATATATCTATTAACCTTATTTTATAGGATCTCATCATGAAAACCAGAATGTTTTACTTCTTTTGAAACACTTTCCTTCCCTAGTTAAGGGGATGTGGTTCCACTCAAAATTCTGTATAAACATTATCAGGGGAGTGTGGAGAATCATACAGCGGCAGTTTATTACCAGTGGCAGCAAACACCATAGAGAAAAAACTATGGTTGTGAGCATACAGAATGTTACCCTCCTTAATAATTATGTACACATAGCAAGCACTCATCAAATGTATCTGTCAGTATACTTCTTTTCTGGGCCTCTAAGTTTCCTCAAGCATCATATCAACTTAAAGTCTCTTGCAAAATGATTATATCCCATCTGCTACTGCGGATAGATAATAGCATATCTGCTTCCCCCCTGTCTCTTCCCCCAAGAATGCAGTGTGGAAGAAATATCTTTTTAAAAAGAAGTGGAATGTGAATGGGTGATAGAACAGTATTGCTAAACATGACTATGAATACCAGGATGCCTGCTGCACACAGGTTATCACTGCTCTTACTTTCCCTAGCCCTGTGGACAGCTCAGGGTGGGCATAGTGCCGCTTCCTGTTCGCACCTGCTCTCTTCTCAGCTTTACCATAAGATTGAAGTCAGAAGACGTGCACGAAGCTCCCGTTCTCTCCTCTCAGGGCTCAGTATTTTCCCAGACGACAGAACATTCTCCTTTACTCATCACAGGCGACAGGAGTAAAGACAGCTTCCCACTCGTTTTGTTATGACTCACCAGAGAGGAACAGGGAGAGAGAACACGCTCCTGCTCAGTCAATGAAATCCTTACAGGTAAGGTGTCTCATTAAAGAATCCTATTTCACAGAATAAATATACTGTCTATTTTATACGTCAAATAAGAACAAATAGATCTATGACATCCTCCCATTAAATTCTAAACAAATCAGCAGTGAAGCTGCTGACATTTAAAACTAAATGCTCTTACAAAGCCTTGAGAAGCAAGCCAGCAGGATCCACTCAGACTCCAGTATCTTGGGCTAACCCCGATGAAAGAGGTATTACATATACAAAGGCAAGCAAACTCAGATGTTTTGGTCACAGTAACATTAGCTAATCCACGCTACAAGCAGTACATAGAACAATTCCAGCAGAAGCATGGCTTGGGCTGCTTCCACGTTAAGGCTGAATGATTATGCAACAACCACCTCTCTGAACTATTATCCCTTCGACCCTCTTCCTTTCTTCCATCTTCTTTTGTTGACTTGAATAACAGATTCAGTGCACATACAACATGCACTGAAATCACACAACAAAGGAGCCGTATAGCATTTCATCCAGAGGCCTAACTAAGCCCTCTGAATCATCTTGCAATGCTTTGTTGAATATAAAGGGGATGAAGGTTAATACCGTTATCCTTCCCTCAGCAAAATGACGTATGTACTTCCTTTAAGATGACATTTGAAGTATCAGTAAGCTTTCGCTCCTTTCTCTTAGCCCGTTTCAAATCCAAATATCTATTTGTGGATACCCCAGAAGATGCAGTTCACTAAGGCTCTCAGAACTGAACCACATGAATCACTTTAATGGTAAAGTGTATTTCTCTGTGTTGTGCCTATATTACACACTCTACATATAGGTAAGAACTACGATCAGGTATTAGGCTGAACACCTTGTTTTATCTTCAGTATTTATTAAAATCTTATAGAGTCTAAATTAAAGTGTTAGCACCATCAGCAAAAAAATATGAGTTTTTAACAGTTTGAAGTGATGCTGTTCTGGATTTAAACTGAAACATATGTGATCTTTTCTATCTATTCATATAGATTTACAAACATCTGGGGAATCTTCCCAATGGCCAGCCTTTCATTAACTTTGGCTTTTAGATTTGTACCAATATCCAGAAGTTTGTAAGGCTACAGACTAGAATCTTCTGACTGGTTTCTGTGGCATGACTAGAGCAATGTAGAAGTAGTACTTCACAAATCTTCCCCGAGCACTAATAACTGTACACCTTTAAATATGTATTGATAAGAACAGATACCAGAAGTGAACAGCAAACAGAAAAACAGGAAAAAAAAGTCCTGAGCTAGGGAACTCCAGTGCTTTTTCTGCTGTCCGTTCAAGGATATGATTGTAGTCTTTCAACCATTAACAAAAGAATCATGTTTCAATACCTATAGAGTTTAGGTGGAAAGAAGGAATTAAAGCAAATTGTCACAACTAAGTATGCATCAGGAAAAGATACCAGATGTAAAAAGAGTAAGCAGTTCACTGGTTAGGGTTACTGAAAACAATATTCAGAGTAACTACTTGTAGCTACGTATGATCGTTTCCTACATTGTAACCTACCAATTAGAATACCAAGGATGAACACTTAGAGATTAATAACATGCTATTTCTAAGTACAGAGAGAGACTTTCAAACTTCCTTCAGGTTCTACTTCCTCTGTTTGGTAACAACGTGAGGCATAGGACAGGGCAGGAACTTTGATACAGTTTTTAATTTTTAGAGAAGAAAGTTTATCCAGATGCCTGCAATGTATCACAGCATAAACAGCAACTAACTTACTGTCATTTTTGAGCATAACTTTCAAGAATAAATTTGTTTTAATTTATTGCTCCTTAGGTAGCTTAAGTATGTTCAGTAATTACTAAATACATGCTAAAATAAAGTTTTCCATAAATCTTCGAAGCAGTTTTCCCCATTTTACAGATTTCACTAAACCTGTTCACTAGCTTTACGACTGGGCACTTATTCCCAACACAATCCACACTACACAATGCCTCTCAAATACTGCTGGCAAAGTCAATGAGATTACTTCAATACACAGTAACAAAAAACTGTACCAGAAAAAAAACAATTCTCAAAAATAGGAGAAAAGCACTCACTGTTTTTCACCTGGATCATCAATTACAGCTATAACATTAATCATGCTGGCATGTCCCATTGCTAAGCCTCTAACAGTTCACAGCAGCTTGTTCTAATCGCTTATTAAGTATGCGGATTATGCATCTATGCTAGAAAGCTGTTGTTCATACAGCCTGTCCAGTACAGACGAATCTATGGCCTAGCTTCCAAGCATCTTACAGAGGACATTGGGACAGTCGGGTGCCTCAGAAAGAGACCATGCTACTGCCAAGGAGCACACTCACATACAGGAGCGGTAAAAACAAAGAAAGGAAACGTATTACAAGCCCCACACTTCCTTGGAAATTACATTTGTATCTCTGAGTCTTGTTAGAGAACACATTCCCCATTCAGCCTACTCCACAGTCTCAAAGCCAGAGCATCCTCCTGAGAGGTAGCCTTTGAGTCTTCTCAGGCTTCAGGCAGTCACTCAAATCTCCCATTTTCTGATCAGGTGCTCAGAATAGCTAGGTCACAAAACCACAAACAGGGATCAGATGAATTAATCAAAAAGTTATTGATTTAAAAAAAGAAAAAAACCCAACAAACTTCCACGATACAAAAGCTTTCGATCAAGTCAAAACAGAAGCTTAGAAACCCTCTGCAACCAGATGCTCAGACTTTCTGAAGAATACAAACCAAACTACATTTTAAAACCCTATCTATAGGCTTCACAGATCTCATCTGCACGTCTCACTTTAGCGTCCTCCTTCAACTATGACTGGGGGGGGGGGGGAAAGAATTTATGGGAAACATATAATGTATTAATCACTGAAAACATGTAAAAATAACTTTGCAATGCAAGACACCTTGCTCCAAATATTACTCATTTTATTACAAGACAAATCGATACAAAGTCTCAAGATAGGTTAAAAATACAGGGACAACATCAAGCTAAAAACCAAAAAGCCATCAAAAATCATGAAACAAAATGATATAAAAAACAAATTAAGATGATGTACCATGTAAGAATGTAGAATTTTTTATTATGAAACATAACATAGAGAATTAGCTTTTCAATGAGTTATCATGTATTCAAAAGGAGAAGGTTGTTCAGAACCAAATAAGCAGATGTTGTTGGAAGCTATGACAAGAAGAAAATTTAGTACACAGGAAAATATACATGCATGATGAAATGTAATTAAATGTGTAAAATTCAAAGATTCGAAAATGTCTTTTTTTTTCCTTATTTAAATCAGAAGCCTCTCCATTAGCCAATAAGAAAACAGAACAGTTGCTTCTTTCTATTCCATAAATAAACAGCTTACACACTGTCAAGTCCGCCAATTTTTCACATTGTAGTTATCAAAACATATCGACTTACAGAGGACAGCCACAGCTCCGGATTCAAACATAAGACATTCTTCTCTGTTTCTGGTTTCTACTATCACACTGAATGGAAGCGGATCCAGCTTGTGATAGACACGGTATCCTTTACTGAAAGCCATTTTGCCTTTATCACAGGCAGTCCTGTCCAACACAAGACGATGTTAGTGAAACCTTCTTGCACTTCCAGATACCTTCTGCAAAGCAGGTCTGACTTGCATCCTTTCCTAGGGATTTCACACTTTTAACAAAACCAAACAGTAAAAAAAGACCTGCTCGCTCCTTCTACCTCGTGAGACTTGTTTTATCTCATGTTCCAACATGGGGACTATCTAAAGACAACATAACATTTCAAATACACAAATACCCAGAGAAACATCTTTCAAAATAAAAGATTTATTTTAAAAGCTTCTCAGAGACAAGAATTTCTTTCACAATGCTTCATAAATAGGATTACTTTGGAGAAAAAAAAAGAATGAAAATAAGGTTCTCCAGCCACCACGTATATGTAAGAGTGGCCACTATCTTAATCATAAACTGATGCCAAACGCAGAGGACAAGAAGCCAGGGCAGGCTTCAATTTTTAGATCTATTTTACTGCTTCTGACCTTGTACAAGAGGACGGTACATTTTTAACACCAAAGCCGTTAAGACCTTTTAAACGACCATGCAAAAACCTTCACCTATTTCGCCTTTCTTTTTTAAACGAAAGCAGGGTTGTGTCTGGATTTAAACCGTCCCCTGCAGCGGCTGCCGACCGAAACATCGCAGTACTGTACCAGGGAAGCTGCATGCGAGCCACAGCGGTAAGATCTTCCTTTACAACAACAACCCCCCCCTAAACAACAAGCAACTACGGACAAACGCCCCAGCAGCCACACTTCACGGGCTGAGGAAGCACGCAG